TTCCTTCCTGGTTCTCTTGACTGTATTCATGAACTTACACTTTTTTTTTTGTTGTTGTTTGTTTGTTTCATGTTATTGCTAAATATGTTGAACTGGGGTCTGATGTCTACCAAAGCCATCATTTTTTAAAAATTAAATTAGAAACGATCTTGTTTTATGTATCAATCCCAGTTTTCTCTCCCTCCCATTCTTCCATGCTCCCTAGCAATCACCATCCCATCCCTCTTCTGCTTCATAGAAAGGGTGAGGCCCTCTATGGGTGATCATCAAATTCTGTCACATCACTTGGGGCAGACCTAGGCCTAGGTCTCGGTTGAGAGAGTATCTCTCTATGGGGTGTAAAAGTTATGAGGCCTGGAGAGTCAATGGATCCCCTGGTAATGTACTGGTTATTCTTAAGTTTGCATTTTGTAGATTGTGCAGGCCTTTGAGATACTCAAGCTTTGGGCTTTCAAGATAACCTGAAACATTTTGAATGAAGTATACTATTCTCAATATAACATACATCTTGAGAGGCTGTTCTCCTATGATGTGTATAATTAGGACCATCGAATTTCTAAGGATATACTGAATAACAAATAAGTATCTCTGTCATCAATCTTCACTTATTCCCAGTTCATATATTCTGAATCTTCCCATACATAGCCAGGATGGTAATTTCTCTCCCTGTGCACTGCCTTATCTAAGCCAGTTTCCTGCCTCTTTTAACTTTTGGTTTAGCAATGACAAGTCCTTCTTGTTTACAGAACTGCTTTCTGTGCCTTGACTCACTTAGTGGTATGTCATGGGAAAGCCTGAGTCTTCAACATATATGATACCTAATCTAAGCCTCTCTGGATAGCTTTTAAGAATAGATTCTTTCAAGATTTTGCCTGGATGTCCTCCATGTCTTTTAAAGTGACACAATGTGATTACTCTTTCATTAATAGATCTGCCAGAGACTGCCACCAAAATCTGCAACTGGTTGTAAAGCTTGACAGAGCTGCTGGATTCTCTTAAGGATAGAAACACTAATCTTTCATCAGTTTACCTTTGAGAGCTATTTCTATGAGAGATTATTTCACCACTACATAACTCAGTTGCTGAGGTTGTGTTCAGGTCTCTTCTTTGTGCTTCATGTCTTTTTTTGGGGGGTGGGGTAAGTTTTATTTTTATTTCTGGAACTCAAATAGTTCTCTCTATTACTTTCTTTATGGTCGACTCCTTTTATTTCCCCCTATTTTGATCCATTTCTTCAACAGCTTGTACAGAGGCAGCCTGCAGTTCATCAGATTACATGGTCACAATTCTGCTTTTCTTTACCTTCATATTTAGGGGTGTTAAAATCTTGGTTTTATCTCATTGCCTGACATTCTTTTATTTATTTTTAAATTTCATCTTATATTCTAACCACAATTCTCCCTCTCAACCCTCCTTCTTCCCTCCATTAACCTCCCTACCCAAACCACCCTTCATCCACTCCTCCAAATGGATAAGAGCTCCCATGTGGAGTAAATTAAGTTGGGGCAGTACTGAGCCCCTCCCCATTGCGTTAAGGCTGAGCATAGCATTGCCTCTTAGGGAATGGGGTCTAACAAGCTGGCTCGTGCATCAGGCATAAATCCCTGTCCTATTGCCAATGGCAATAGGACTTCAGATCGTCGAAGTTTCACAAATGTCTCCCACATATTGAGGGCCTAGCTCTGTCCCATGGATGCTCCACAACTATGAGTTTAGAGTTCCTGAGTTTCCAAAAGCTTGGTTCAGCTGTCTCTGTATATTTCTAGCAGTTTAAAAGAAGCAATGCTTTTTCTGTTTCCTGAATTTGACATGTATCTTGCCAACACATTAAAAGTTTATAGCTTCAATTTTTTTGGAATTTATCTTTAAAGGTAGTCACACTATTTGTTAAATGACAATTTTGAACTCAGTGTGATTCATTGGAGGGTCTATCACTGTCCAATTAGTTAACCTAGTCATGTTATGCTGACTTTCATTCATGCCCTTTTGTACAGTTTTATCCTGTGACTTGTATTAATATTGAATTATTTTCTTTAGATAGACTTATAATACATATACATATGTGATGACACTTATGATGACATATTCATATTATGAGAATAACTCTCAGAAAAGTATACTTGGTAATCTTCAATTAATAATTTTCATTTGGAATTCAGAATTGGCATATCCTGTTCTAGGATACAAAGTATGACTTGTTCTGTTTTTTAAATAACTTTACAATAAATTATGCATTTATTTATCATTAAAGATAAATAGTAACATTCAGGAAAAATAATCATGTAGCCTGTTTAAATCTAGTTTTATTAGTTTTAGGATTATTTTTATATGTTTTAAATTATCATCCCCTTTTCAGTGGTGGATTTTCATGAAAAATCATTTGTAATAATTCCATACCAATGTGTTTTCATTCATTTAGTTAGTATTTTCATATAGTTTATTTATGTATATAAGTTCTGTAATTCAGTACTAATTTGTTCATTGATTCTTCTGAATTTTACACAAGTACAATAACATTAATCATTTTACTTTTTCACTTTTTGCTAAAAGATCAACCCAGTTTTCTTTATTTTTATATTTACCTTGTTGTTGTATCTGTGTACCTGTCTGGGGTTTGTGTGTTTATGTTTGTGTGTGTTTTTGTGTTGAGATAGACTTTCCCATAACACAAAGAGGACACAAACTCACTATATTGCCCTGACAAAGATCTTGGCTCCTGACCCCACACATGACTTTACTTCCTAAGAAACAGGCTTTGAGGAAAGTACTGTCACAACAAGTACTTATATGGGTTGGATTTTAATCAGAAAGGGTCCTGACTTTCTCTAGTAACTTACTTGTGTTTCTAATTGATAACTACATCTTTTTTTTTTTTAATTAAAGAGCTGTGATCTAACTGTTCATTTGCAAAGTAATAATCAGAAATAGATATCCATTATCTAATACATTGTAATATTGGTGATAATCATTAATTTTACTTATAGATATTATGATATTGTAGGCAGATTTTTTTCTGTCTTGCCTGTCAGCTTCCAAATAGCCACATGGAAACATTAACTATGAAAATGCAACCAATAGCTTAGGCTTGTTTTTAACTAACTAGCTTTTATAACTTAAATTAAGAGATTTTTATTACTTTACTTTCTGCCCCATGATGTTTTACCTTTACTCTGTATTGCCTGTGCTGCATTCCTATTTCCTTCATGTTGGACTGGTGACTCCACCTTCTTTTACCCCTTGTCCTCTCTGCTCTGAAAATTCTGTCTAGGTACTGGCTGTTTAGATTGTTATTCACCTAACCACAGTGAAATATCTTTACACAGTGTAAAGAAATATTCCACAATATAATATGATAATATTTTCTTAATTGAAAATCTGAAAATAGCTGCATACTACAAAAATGATCATATGGCTGAGGAGTAAAAAGTTTATCAATTTTACTGGTACAAATTATTTATTACCACTGCATTTTTAAGACTAATAAATAATTATCTGTTGTGTATCTATTTTGAAGTATCTATGCCAAATTCATGTGAAATGATGTAAAATTTTTCTTTTGTACTTTCTGGAAGCATTTCAAAGAATCTTTTCATCTTCAAAGATTTGCAGAATCTCCTTATGAAATCAGTTATGCCAGCTCAGTAAATGTTGTACCTAAAGTATTCTATTATGATAAAACCAAATACATTTATTTAGGCAAAATAATAATAAGTATATTTATGGTTTCTAGTTTGATTTATTTTATAATTACCATATCAATTGTCCATGATTTTTTCTTCACTTGGAAGAAAATATGTGTTGACAGTTGTTAATGTATTTTCTACCTGTTTTCTCAAGGAAACTGCTCTCAAATGTATTTATATATATTGCATTTTAGAGCCCATTCAAAACGACGTTTTTTAAATAATTTTTCTTCATTTCATATAAGCTTCTTTTTGTGACCCATTTTTTATCAGGTTCATATAACTTGAACACTTCTATGAACTGTATCTCATATGTATATCAGTGTAATCATCCCTCTGTCATAGTTCTGTTCTTTAAACTGTGGTATCAGAAAAAAATATAATGCTTCCTACATCATTTACTATAGAAAAATAATAAGTACTAAATATTTTTCCTTAGCTATTAAAGGAGGAAAAGAAATGGGAGAATGCTATTGTTATATTAAAATCTTAAAAATTACAATGTGAATTTACTGTGTTTCAGAGCTCTATGAACTCATATCATTGGATGATCATATGAGCTATGGTATCATAAAAATAAATCATCTTTCTGATATAAAGTGATGTATACTTCTCTTGTGGTTGATCTTATTGGACCTATCTTAAGGACACCCTTTCAGTTTTTACGTGGGCACAATGACATTATAACACATGGGTTCCTGAGAGAGAACATGCAGCTAATTTGGCAATTGTTTGTTAGATGAATATGCAATGTTGTGAAAGTTTGAGAAGAGCCAGTTCTCCACCTTCACTGTTAAGTCTTACCTCACTGTTCATCACCATTCCATTGAGTTTAATGATTTACATAGTGCTTATAAATGCACTTGAGAATGTGTTGCTACTATATATACACATGCATAAAGTAGGTATTCTGAGCACTCCAATAATTCCTTGCTTCTATCTTGATATGCTATTCCCTTAATAAAATTTATGGACTAATACAGTACTACAAAACTTCAATTAATATTTTATCAAAATCTGTGGACCTCAGTTATTCACAAAGCTAAGACACATGACAAAATAATTAGTTTAATAAAATCGTTCTTTAACATCTCCATATTTAAAGTTTACTAAATATATATCCAAAGCCTTAAAAAGCTCTATAGTACTTCCAGTTACTTGGGAAAGAAAATTATAAAAAAATGTTATAACTTCATTAAATTTTGTGGTTTTGACTAGTTTTTCCTTCCCAGCATTTTTTAAGCATTCATTTTTGAAGATAAGTATAAAACTTACTTTCACTGGGAAATACATTTTCTTTTAATATAATTAATACAGGAGAGGAATCACTCACAATTTTCGTCGACAAGCGGAAGCTGAGCAAAAGATCTGAAGGAAGTGATACAAGCACCAATAGTTCATCTGTCACCCTGGAGACCCTACATCAGTTGGCTGCTTCCTATTTTATTGACAGGGATAGCACTCTGCGCAGACTTCACCATATCCAAATTGCTTCCACTGCCATCAAGGTAAGCATGAACTAACACTAGAATTGTTCTTTTCCTTCATTTATCCTAGTTTTATGATGTCTATCTGACTATTTCTTGGGCCAGTGATATAAATGATTATGTTATAAAATGTGTTTCATTATTCAGTTGCTTTTAAAAATAAACTAAAATTATATGCAGATTGATGCAGTAGTTTCAATTGATAAGTAGGTCATTTTTTTCTGTTTCAATGAGCAAATATAACTAAAATTTACATAAATTTTCAAGCTCAATTTTGCTAAGAGTTACTCCTAGAGATAGTATAAGATAAACTTTAAAAATCATATAAATATACATACAATTGTTCTTCATATTGTACTTTTACAATATATGAGGGGCATAGGGACTGAGAAGTAGGCAAGTGAGCTTTCTGAACTTAATTTTGCCCTCTGCGCTTTTGATATTGGAAGGACATTGTAATTTTAAGTGACTGGTAATGTCTGACTCAAGGTGAGCTGCATTCTGGAATATTCTGAAGAGTTTGTCATTCTTCTGTGTTACAACTACAATGAGGATCAATGGTGGTTGTTCACACGAGCATCAGGTAAACAGGCTTTTTAAATTTCAAATACTCTAAAAAGAGTCCGTACATGGATTTTTAAAAAGAGTCTTTTTTGAATATGAGAATAATATAATGAACAATTTATAAATGATAGAGTAAACGAGGACAATAGGGGTGGCAAGACAATTTCAAGAATATCCACATATGTATAGAAATGATAAAAACGACTTTATTGATACCATTTAATGACTTTTTTTTTGGAGATTTAGATATTTTTCGTACTTTACATATCAATCCCAGTTCCTTCTCCATCCCTTCCTCCCTCCCATACACCCAAACCCCCTTCCTATTCCATTCCCCCAACATTCCACAGGGAGGGTGATGCCTTCCAGGAGGGATCATCAATATCTGTCAAGTCCAATGTGCTCCCTTTATTATGACATCTCTCTCTCTCTCTCTTTTTTTTTTTTTTTTTTTTGCTCTGGTCTATTAGTCCCCCGACTCAATCCTCCTCGTCCCACATGCACTCCTCTCCTGCCCTTCTCTTACTCCTAACTCCCTCTCAACTCACTGTGCTCCCAATATGCTCAAGAGATCTTCTGTTCCTTTCCCCTTCTGTGAAATACCTTGTATGAATTTCTTAGGTTCTTTCTTGTATCCTAGTTTCTCTGGTGGTGTGGTTTATAAGCTGGTAATCCTTTGGTCTATGTCTAAAATCCATATATGAGTGAGTACATACCATGTTCCTTTTTTTTTTTTTTTTTCATGACTGGGTTACCTCATTCAGGATGGTATCTTCAAGTTTCATTCATTTGTCTGAGATTTGAAGATATTATTATCCCCCCCCCTCCACCCCGGGAGTAGTATTCCATTGTGTAAATGTGCCACATCTTTATCCATTCTTCAGTTGAGGGATTTCTAGGTTGCTTCTAGGTTCTTGCTTACAAATAATGCTGCTATGAACATAGTTGAACAGATATCTTTGTTGCATGGATGTGGATCATTTGAGTATATGCCTAAGAGGGGGATTGCCAGGTGCTGTGGTAAACTGATTCCCATTTTCTGAGGAACCGCCATACTGATCTCCAAAATGGCTGTATGAGTTCGCACTCCCACCAGCAGTGAAGTTTTCCCTTTTCTAAACATCCTCTCCAGCAAAAGCTGTCATTGGTTTTTCTAATTTTAGCCATTGTGACTGAATGTAACACCAGTAGAACAGACCCTGAGATGGACAATTAATAAAACAGAACCTCCTTAAACTGAGAAGCTTCTGTAATACAAAGGACATAGTCAACAAGACCAAACGGCAGACCCAGACTAGGATAAGATCTTCAGCATCTGACAGAGAGCTGATTTCCAGAATAAACAAAGACATCAAGAAACTAATCCCCAAAACAGCAAATAACTATTAAAAAGTGGGGAACAGAATTATCAATAGAGGAATTTAAAATGGCTGAAAGATACTTATGAAAGTGCTCAACATCCTTAGCCATCAGGAAATTGCAAATCAAAACAACTCAGAGATACCACCTTACTCCTGTCACAATTTCCAGTATTTATAGTTTAAAGAAATCCAGAAACACACACACACACACACACACACACACACAATGTATGCTAATGTTAACTCAGTTCAGAAGTATATTTCATGTTTCATATTTAGATTGATTTATGTAGAGTTGCAAAATTTTGCACATGTCTTGAACTCTTAAATTACTCACCTTGATGACTGGTATTCCTTTTCAATTTTGTGGGAATTGGAATTATCATGAATACAAATCCATCTCTGTCTTTTACTGGTGATAAATTAACTTATTGGAGGAGAAAAGATCAACTCTCAATGTGACAGGTACCATTCAACAGGATGGGCTTATTTACACTCTTAGTACAGATATTGTGATCCTACTTCTTGATTAAGCATGACATGCAGTTAAATTTTCTAAGTGCCTTTCACATTGAACTCAAATGAGTATGTCCTTCCTTAAGTTGTCTCTGTCATTCTTTTTGTTTGAATAACGATTGCTCAATACATATATTAAATTAATATTTGATCTCTTCATAAAATTAATATTGGAAACCACACCTAATAATTATTATTTATATGTTGAGAGTAAAATTTTGTGTTTTACTTTTATATAATTACAAAATAACTTTCAGAGCACTAAAATAAAACAGGAATTATAACTCCAGCTATTCAATGTATTGAAACAGGAAGATTATGAATTCAAAGCCTATATGTCTTCTAGGATATATGCAATTTAGAAAGACTCTATAACTATTCTAAAGTAAAAATAAATTGTAAAAACCTTTGGATATGGCTCCATGTTAATGTGCTTATATTTAAAGTCCATTTTGAATTGTAAAATTTTGATAGTCTACTTGACATGTCTATCTTAGTATCAGCCTCCTTAATATTACCTTCCTTTCAACTTTCCCATAAATCCCTTTTTATTATTTTTCAAGTCCAAGCCATAGGATGTATTTGTAGGTGTGTTTTCAGCGAGTTATCCATTTCTTAAAGAATGACAAAACCCCCTCAGATACTACTTTCGAGTTTCCAGTGTATACTCTAATATTAAATGGATTTTTCATGGTCCTCATTGCATCATTATATTCACTCACCACCCACACTAGCAACTTTGTAGCTTTTGGGTGCCATCAATATCTCCTTTAAAAATACCTTTTTGTATTGTCGATTTCTATATTCAGCTTTGCTTTAGAGTATAGCCACGAGAATATGGTTGTGTAGTATTTTTCTGTTAGTAGTTGTTTGATTTCACTATGAAAAAATGAACAACTTGTATTGCGGTAAATAAGGATCAGGATAAACAAATAGGCCGAATAGATGTTTATTCAGGGAGAAATAACTTACAACCTAGACAAATGAACACCAGGAAATTCCACCCGATCCTCTCCTGTCCGAGTCACGCCAGAAAGAGAGCACCTTCCTGGCCCCCTCCGACCTCCTTCCTCAGGTCACCTCCGCCCATCGCTCCACCCCCCCAATGGGCGTGGTCAGTGCTACAGAAGGACTACCTCACTACAAACTTGTTTATCTTTGTCGTCATAAATGATGAAATTCCCCTCTTTTCATCATGGTACAATATTAAGATATTGGATATACAATCTATAACTTCTGAAAAAACATACATGCTGTATTTTCTTAGCTCCTGAGGAAAATGCTATAATGAATACATACACACATATTTATATGTATATATACTTTTATGTATTTATGTAAATTTACATAATGCTTTTATTACATATTCCTTGCTTCCCTTCTTTGGTAACAGAAATGATTAGAAACAATTTTGTATGTACATGATGGAGGTATTTTGTCAGTTTTTAACTTGTGATAATAAAATATCCATTATAACAACGGTTTAGGTTTAAATTTTTCTGATATTTATTATAATTTTCTACTTTTCATGTTAGGTATTTCTTTTGTTTGTTGATTTTATTTAAATTATATTCTCTGGTGGCATAAGCAGAACTGGTCATTATTTTCTGTTATTTTCTTTTTAATCAAAGATTGTGGTTGTGTTCTGTGTGCTTGTGTCTGTTGTAGCTACAGAGATATGGTTAATTTTTATTATACTAAACAAGAGAAACAGGACAGATGTTAAGAATTTCTCTTCCTTATGACATTTTCCTCTATTTACATTATTGTTTTGTCCAGATTTTTTTAATTCAAGACATTTTGTCCTCTGATGGAGAAACATACTCATGGAGACTGTAAAGCACCTGCTGATGTCTGTTTCCATACACCACATTGCCTTTATTCTCATTCAGAACAAAGTTTATATTTATGCTTTGTATTTTGCAATATGTCAATCTCTATAGTGTGTACCAGCTCAGTCAAGGATACATAGAAATACCTTTACAAAATACAACAACAAAAAGTAAGACATGGGGAGCAGATAGACCATTCAGGTGATTTTTTTTTACTTAAATCATATATATATATATATATATATATATATATATATATATATATATGCTATAATATTTTATTCTTTGTTCATATACATCCAATCCAATCTCCTTCTAATTCCCCCTAATACCCCAGCCCATCTCTCTCCCAGCTGCATGCCCTTATTTGTTTATTTATATTACTTATTCCCCTCATCTAATTAGTGCTGTTCCTATGCAAATATATGTATGACCATCTACAAGGTCTGAAAAAACATACCAGCAGGCATACCTACAAAGGAAAGAGACCCTTTCTCCCTCAGTTACCATTGGTTCCTTGGGTGCTTTTGAGGCTTTGTAGGGAAGCATTCCTTGCCCGGCACTGAGATTTTAATGTAGTACTATATGTTTTCTAGGAGCATTATTGTCCATATATTATAAGTTTTGGCATAAAGATTTTTCATGTACCTCATGTTTAACTTAGACTAATGTTAGACTCCCCACCCTGTCCTCTTATCAATACTCCTATCTCAAATTAAACTTTTAGCTTAGTATCATCATCTCTCCT